CTGGGGAGTAGTTTAAACCTGTCTTCGACAGCATTATTAGGTCAAAGATGCCCATTTCCTTCCAGACTGGAGTTTGATGTTTTTCCAGCTTTGTTAGCCAAGCAACATAGTCCTGGGTGAGATTAGGGCAAGACCTAAAAACTCTAACACTTCTGTTGAAGAAACGAAGGTCGATCTTCTCGTGTGTGGGGTCTTCGTTGTCTTCTGGATCCTTCTTAGCACAAGCTACTGGCTTGAGTTTCTCGACGATGGGAAAGTAGCTCTTGATCTTCAGAGCTTCAGAGATGCTGGGATTCATGGGTCCAGCCATTGCGAAGATTTGGTTGGAGTATCCAACCGGAATCATCAAGTGACGCGAGTAAGCATCACGAACGGAGATGTCAGATGGTTCGGGGACCCTTCGTTTCCCTGTAGCGTTCACTACCGGAGCGGTTACAAAAACCTTGGGTTTAGCAAGTTGTTCAGTTGGTGCGTTAGTCTTGGGGGCAGTTGAAGCAGAAGCCATTGTTGAGGATGAGGATGAAGTTGGAAAGGGAAGAGTTTTTCTGCAAAGAGAAACAAGTTTGCAAGAAAGCAAGGGAGTTTGAGAGATGGTTTGCGTGAAAAGTCCCACAATGGGGTATTCACTACTATTTATAGTAGTGGGAGAAATTCCCAATAACGAGGGCATTAAATGTCATTTAATGCTGCAGGAAGTAGTGGGACGCGTGGCAGCATCCTGTTGTTTTGGCCGTTTCTGCAGAAACAGAGAGACGCAGCGTGCGTCCTCGTTTTTTGAATTTGTCATAATGACAAATTATGAAGTGATGTTTTGGTTCTGCACGCCGTACTGACAGTGACGTCCTAGGATCAAATCAATGATGGTTTCTTGGGATTGCCAATAGTTGGTAAAAAGCAACAAAAAGTGCACAAGTTAACTTGTGACTAAGCGTGGAAAAACAGGTGTCGAATGGCGTTTTCAAAGAATGCCTTTTTCTTTCAGAGTCGAAATAAGGCATTCTTGGGGGGCAATTTGTTGGCTCCTAAATTCGACACCTTTGTTTCAATTGATGGCAGCCATGAAAAGCTGAAAGATGCTTTCGACTGGCTAAGCCTGTCGAAATGACCGTCGAAAGATGGCAAAATACTTAGAAGATTTCTTCCAAGGAAGAAGGCTGATTGCCTTCGACGTCGAAGAAGTTTTCGTCGAAGACGTCTCTTGACGAACGTGTTCGATGGTCCAGAGTGGAGCAGTTTGAAATTCAAAGCTTTGGAGGGAAAACGGTTTCCAGCGGTTACTACGTGCGAACGTGCAAGGATCTGGAGCGTCGAGCATGGAGAACGTGACAAGTGGCCTGATCTCGAAGCAGTGTAACTGCCCGACGGTTACTTGGAATGTTTTTGTATAAATAGGAGTAGACGTGTAGTTTCTCGCGTGTGTTCACAATAGATACATAGTCACTCATTTAGATTCAAGTACCCAGTGTGAGCGAACGAATTGTTGAGAAATGTATGTGTGAAACACCAATTTATCAATTCAAGTCATTTACTTTTCCAGTATTTTACATGCTTTTTCCCTTTAAGATTCCCGTCGAACCTTTACATTCAAGCCTTGTTTATTTTACCAAGCCTTTTCCTTTATGCAATTTACTTTAAACAATTTACTTAAAGCCTTATCCACACATTAACTAAACTTCAAAATCAACCTATGTCCATAGGATCAATCTGATCGATCCTGCGAGTAACCAAATAAGTAACCATTTGGAGGATCAGCGGTTGTTTACCAAATCCCCAGGTAAACAATTAGAAAGGGATATGTTAAACATTTATCCATTTTAAATCTCTGTAAAAAGTTATTGATATATCCTTTTTTATACAAGCCTAAAGATCCTTGTGATCTATCATTAAATATTTTTCTTACAATCACATAACTTGCTTCACCTGTATATTTCATTTCAAAGTTGTTAGACAAAAACTTCTTAATCTCGTGTAATAAATTGTGATCATTAGTTGCAAGAAAAACATCATCAACATATAAAATTAAAATAATAACTTTATTCTCACTGTCTTTTCTATATATATATATCTATATATATATATATATATGATAATTTTGAAGACATACACCCACAATGATTTGGGTAAATATGAGTTACTTAACATGCTCCTAATCACTTTCATTTAGATATAATTACGCCTCTTAATAAACCATTTTGTTGTGGTGTACTTAACATTATGTATTAAGCACAAATACTACACTTTTGTAGGAACTTAGAAAATAGACCATGGTGTTGTTCATATTCATCGTATATTTCATAATACTCATCACCTCAACTTGATCTTAAGATTTTTCACCTTTTTGTCTAACTTCCTTTCAACTCCATTTATGAAAAATTTCAAATCATTCGATGCTAGAGATTTCTTATGCAGTAAATAAACATAACCATAACCGTAACATGTATAATTTCAAAAAGTTGAGGACTTCATATGGATCCTTTCTTTTTTTGGTGTTTCATTTGTTTATCTTTATCTATTGAGAAGACAGGAAAATTGAGAGGGATTGGATGTTACAGTGGAAGGGCAAGAGGAAAAGTCACATGGATAGTATCGTCTTCAACCGTAGGAGGGAGATGGGTCTTTGCCGTGAGATCGAGAACATTGAATATGGAAGTGGTCCCGATGTTGTCATTGTCTCACGAGTCAGATCAATGATATAAGTAGGGAGTAAATCAGATGCTTGTCGAATAGCGACGGAGAGATGATGATTTTTCGTGAAATTTTGTAGGTATTTAATATTTTCACAGATGACGCAACTGTTCAGTTCAAGAACCAGAAATAGATGTTGATAAAGTAAAATATGACTCAGGTGCAGTGGAGTGTATTTCTGATACGACGAAACGGGGTGATCTTGCAAGATTATCACTTCAACACCCAAAACATTGAATGAATTAGATGTAATCTGAGTGTGTGAATGAGTAGAATACTCGTGTCTTGATATTTGTAGAACTTTATATAAAAGTGACGATTATAACTACTTTCGCTTGATCCAACTTCTTAATCGAATCACCGTTAGATTAGATATGCCAATAAAAAGTTAACAAAAAAGTATGAATTATGTGTTTTGAACTTTCATAGTATTTGCTATTGATTCTTGAAATGTAGATTTTGGGAGCGCCCATAACAAAACTAAGACATTATAAATAAAAAATTGAAACCTATGCTTTTCAGATAGTAAAGAGTAAAGACATAAAAAAAAACGAGCATTCTACCTATCATCCTTCAAGTTTTATTTGGCGCCTTCCATTTTTCATTATTTCAGAAATACTCGTGAACAAATTAGGAGAGTGGCAAAGAACGAAATTTTCGATAATTTTGCAAAATTTCTAATAATATACTAAATTTTTTGAAAAAAAATAATTTATACTAACAAAAGTTTTAAAATATATTTAAATTTTTGATAGTGTAAAAAAATTGAAAATGAACTATCGGATGTTTTTAAAATTCGATAATTTTTAAAAATTCCTATAATTTTCTATAAATTTTGAAAAAACCCGATATTTTTTTAAAATTTCCTATGAAAGAAATTTCAAAATTTTTTTTTTTTAAGATATAAGAGTGATATTACCATCATTAAAGACTCTTTTATAATATGGTAGAGACAAAACTTTTTGTTTTACTTAATAAGTTCGTAGTTCTCAAAAAAATCATAAATATTTACATAAATTTATTTCCACCATATAATGTATGTTAGCATCATTTTACAGGAGTCGCCAATGCCATAATTTAATTTAAATTTATTTCATTATTCTTACATATTAATCATTAGAAAAATCGTATTGCTAACTCTTTCGGGATAATATTGGTTAATAAAAAAAAAATTTAAAAATTACAATAGAACAATCAGCTGCATATCACCAAACTTTAGGGAAAAATAGCAATCAAACTTGGATTTTCAAGAGCTATATTAAAAGTCAATTATTGTAAGTTTCAAAATGACAATTGCAATATTTTCTATTTTTCTTGTTGTTTTAATTTACATTCACATATATAATATATAACTAAAATTCATTGTTTATATTTACTCATTAGTTAATTTTAATATATAAATTCTAAACAAGATAAACATAGACATGTTTCAATAGGGTCTTCTCTAATCACAACAATTACTAAAAGTCAAACCAAACACTATTGTTTAAAAGAGTCCCTTTCAATCAACTCATATTGGTGGTATAAGATTTTGCTCTTTATGAGAATATAAAATGAGAAAAATATAAGTAAACTATATTCCTAAAAAAAACATTAATATCTAGAAATATATATTTATTACAACTTCCAACTTCTACTGAATTTGAAAATGTTATAATTGTTCTACAAATACTACTACTACCTGGAAAAACTTAGAGTTTATAGGAACTTTTGTATATTGAGTTAGGAAAGCAAATACTAGTAGCTTTGTTTATCACAAAAAATTATGATAAAATGCCAAAACCATAAGGTATCAATCAAACCTCTAGGTTGGTCAGTTAGACTTGGATTTTGCTACTTATTGTGTATTTGTTTGGGTCATATATTTTATATACAAGAACAATGGTCCAGAGTAGTTTGAAAATTTTAAATTTCTATTTATTGTATGAATATGATTTTACATACATGAGAAAATAATCACAAGAACAAAAGTTCAGAAGGTTCACTACCAATTTGTCTTATTGGAGTTGAAGCAAACATTCCATTCATGCAAGGACAAAGTGTCCTACTACTTTTTTCTATTGACGTCCAGTGAGTGAAACAGGGAGAGAGATCATATTGAATTGGATCAATCCTACAACACTGATAAGAGTACACGGGGAAACTTCCTGAGATAGCAAATAACGAAATTTTGCATACTGGTCAAAGAATGTGAAAGAAAAATGAATCGGCGGCAGGTCTTGTATAGTTGATGCTCAACAAATCTATCAACACCATCAAATGTGTGTGTGTGGTATTCCCACAGTTGACATGCAATTGAATTACGAGTTGCTTTTCTATTCTTTACTCTTATGCTTATGCGAGATTGAAATTAGTTGAATTAGCTGGGCCCTTAAGCTACACTCCTCCACCTGAAAATGCAGCACTTGTCCAGATTAATATGAACTGCTGGAGTGGATATAAACAAGCTTTTTCTACGATAACAATGGAAGTACCGTGGGCAAGACAAACCTGTGACTTATGTGTCTTTGACAATACACCTCCGCACTCGTCAATAAGAGCTCTTTCTCCTCCAACAACTCTGGCTAATTCTGAAATAGAAGTATCTATTTCTTCTGCCTAGTGTTTGAAAAACATTAATTAGTGCAGTACAGAAAAAGTAAATCTAATTCAATTCAAGTTCATGTAACATTTTTAATGTTGCAATACCTAGTTGAAGTCAGTGCATTTCTAAACAGTTATTTAGATCCATTTTTTCATCTGTCTTACCTTTGGCATTAATTTCTGGGTATTGGAAATAATTGTTTCCATTGTCTTTAGTGCTGAATTCAGAGACTCCCCCACCTCTCTTACATCAACCTGTGACATTATGCATTTCTGTGAATTAGTAACTGCAGAATATCTAAATGAATAAGCATGGAAGAAAGAGAATAGTGCTAGTTGGATTTTAATCATACCCGAACATTCCCACCAGTTGGAAGTTGCGTTGAGGCATTCAACAAAGCCTGAATTGCTTCAGTGAGGGAAACAGAATAGTCTTCTTCCATAGCAGACCACTCATCCAGATATGGAGTCTGTAATTGCATCAAAATTTATTACTGATGCATATGGTTCTAGGAATTTACAAATAAAATTATAATTGATTGCAAAGAGACCAAAGTCTTCTTAATTCCACCTCAAGATGTGTTAGTTGCAAGAGGTGGTTATGTTGAAAAAAAGGGTAACATAGACTTAAACATTCATGCCACAAAAAGTCAATCAGCAATAAAAAATAGAATCACAGTCGAGACCCAGGAAGGAAGTATTGCTCTGTGGACAAAAAAAATATAAAAGAAACATTCAAAATCATTGGCAGCCTTACTTGAGCTTCAAGAACTCTTGATAGGATCTGTGATCTCCGCAAACGCTCCAATTCTATGCGTTTCTTGTTCACAGAATCACGCATTTCTGATATTTTCATTGCACGAGATAACAGTGCTTTCTGCGAGGATAAAGAAGAGAAACAAAAAGCAGCAAAAGAGCATAAGGTGGTAAAATTGTACAGCATAGCTCAATATTTTAAAATGTAACATAACTGAACGAAAGTGGATGTACATTTGCAAAAGAAAATTCTGAATAACAAAAGTCAATAACACGCGTGAACCTATGTTTTGTACTTACCTAAAAAAACACCAAATTTAATGAACTGTATTCGAAATAAACTAGATCATAATGACTAATATAACTTACGATGTCATGTGATGTGATAGCCATTACACTCGAGTCAAAACTAAAGATATTTTGGTTTAGAACTGTTATTGAGCAGGGATAGAGATTTCTCCCTTGTTTTCGTTGTAATTGATCTCATTATATATCTTTCAATTACTGTGTCTATCAAAGGTCCAAACTATCCAATAGAGTAAGATAAAAGCACTATAACAAGATCTTTCAAGCTGTAATCGATGTCATTTTAGCATTTTATTTAAGTTATTTATACATCGTAATCCCCTTCTTGCTTATAAATTGTGACCTGCCCTCCCTAAATTCCCCTTGTTCTAACAAGAGTATATAAGATTAAGAACTGCTGCATGGCCAGGCAATTGTGATTTCCTGACCAGAGCAATTTAGAAAATGGATACAACCTCAAATTTAAATTATGCAAATCCTTTGTGAGGCTCAGTTCTAAGTAGCTGTCAATGCAAAGTTTTAAATATTTTCTTGCCCGTCGTGTAACTCACACATTATTTTTGTTAATTCTTTCATAACTACTGAACAATTGACTACATGGCACACTTGGGCCACCATAGCTACTAATTTCCAAGGAACAGTACTATTAGCTTAGGTAGGAACCAATGTGATATGTTTTAAGCTTGTTTGCTTCAACAATGCAATTATTAGCATATTGTGTGAAGTAACATTCAAATGTCAATTCCAATTAATGTGAAGTATCTTTGCTATCAAATTATAGCCAACAAACACAAACAGACACACAATTCAATATAGAATTGTTTCCACCAAGATTCCTACAACTATCTATCTATATACTCACAAGCTGCAAAACAAGATAATATAGGACTAAGTACGTTTGACTTAACCGGTAAACAAAACGTAAGCAACACACCTCGCATTCCTTTTGCTGAACTTTCATTGCGTGTTCTGCTTTTGCATTGGCGAATCTCCATTGCAGATACCGATTATGAAGCAACTTGAGCGAAGTCACATCATCCTGCTGACTACCTTTCTTCCCTTTCCTTGTATCGGCTGCAGACTTCGCATGAGGAGCAACTGGTGGCAGTCCTCCAACCTTAACCCGATCAATGCCAGAAGACGACAAATTAACCGAACGAGACAAATTGTTACCAAATTTCTCAGCCACGGATCCACTAGGCACATTAGGTTTCTGCATCAACACATTCCTTTCAGTCTCAGAACGCAATTCAGGAAGAGATTGTGTACTGCAATGAATATCAATATCATCACGTGAACTTCTGGATGATGAAGTGCCACTAGATTGAAACAATTTTGCAGCAGCTGAAGAACGGGCATTGATAGGCCTATGATGTTGGTGGTGAGGTGCTTGCCGATATCTTGAAGAGACGGGCATGGTATGGATTGGAGTATCAGGTCTAGAAGGACAAGGTGAGGCACACCGTTGTTTTGAAGGGTGATGAGAACTGGAACTAGGGTTTGGAATATTATCGAAAACCCTGTTTGTTGTTTCTTTGAAAAGCTTCACGGATCTTTGTTGTTGCTGTTGTAGTTTCTTCTGGAAAGAGTATCCGATCGGGAACGACGACTCGGAATTCTCGTCGTCGGAGTCGTCTCGTTGTTGCCGACGTTGAATGGAGGTGATGGAGGGAGACATGAATCTGGAGCTAACTTCGCGGGTTTTTGGTCGGCGGTTATGTTGTTGTTGCGGCAGTGGCGGTGGCGGTGGTGGAGGGGGAGAATGGTTTTCGGAAACGGTGTTGTTTTCTTGCATTGTTTGGTTGTAGAAAGTTGAGGGTGAAGTTAAGAGAGGATTTAAGTGACAGAGAGAAAGAACGACGAAGAAGAAGAAAAAATGGCCGTTGGGGTTTTGGGTAGGGATGTGTTTGGCTTGTTGGTTTCGTTACAACGGTTCTATTTCGAATACTCTTTTCAAAGTTTTTAATAAATAATAATTTAAACATGATTTGTAAAACCCATTGCATTCAATATTCAATTGGGAAATATTTAAGCAATTTTCATCTCACCTTAGCCGTGAAATTTCTAAAATATCTCTTATTTTCGTAAATTTTGAATTTTTCATAATAAAATTTAGAGATATAGAAATCTTAAAAGGGTATATTTGAAAATATACTTCTGAACTATACTTGTTTCCGAAATTAAAACGGTATAAATGAAAATATGACAACGTAATAAAAACATATCAACATCAATATTTCATTAATTAAAAACATTCATTAAATAAAATAGTCGTGAATATAAATTCAACATTACATAATAATTTTATTGAGACGTTACAACATAATGATTAGATCATCGACGGCTCTTAGAAACTTCATATTCACTTAAATCGGACCCTTTGATTCATAACTGAGAAAAATACTCCACATAACCTTTAGAATTACATCCGTCTTCAGTTCAAGGTTGGTGAAATGGATCTTCTCTTTGTTGTCAATTGAGGGTGACAGATACTCAAGCTTGACAAATTTGTGATTTTCTGAAAAGTGCAATAGAGTATTCAGTTTGAATATCAGATTTGCGAGGAATGTTTCCTCGATGACCCTAAATGAAAACAATGGTTTCTCGCCATTAAAATATACAAATGCAATATGGAAATATGAACTCATTTTCTCTGATTTTAGTGTGTTGGTGCAAATTAAGTTTGAGACATACCCTATTTATATAAGTATTGAGTCACTTTAAATCTCAAAATTCTTATATTATATCAGGTAAAGTTTAGGAATTGCATATCCAAATATACCTCACGTTTAATTACAAATAAAAAAGTGACTTCGGAGTCACATATTCGAATATACCTCACTTTTCATCACAATAAAGGGTGACTTCGGAGTCACATTTTCGAAAATTTAACTGAACAAGGTTAAAACCAGAAACTTTATAAACAACCACATGCAATGTAAATCAAAAGCTAACCATAAAATTAATATATATTAAATCGTATCAAAATTAATATTCAAAAATGAATATCGATTACAATCTAGAATGCATCAAAAGACGCAACATCGCATAAGTCTACAGCTGGTTCCGCCTTCGACGCTTCCTTGTTTGATTCTCTTTCAAGCTCCATTAATTTGGTGAACTCTATCATCCTCTCCATAAATTGATATGGCTATGTTTCCGCCTCAATTGTTACATGTGTCGTCTACTCAATCGATGTAGTTGAAATTAGACACGCAAGTTTCAAATAAACCTGAACAAAATGTAGGTCCTTTGAAAGAAACCCAACACACATGATGCGTTCGGATGAGTTTTTAGGTGGACCACTGTGTAATGGAAAAATATCTCCGAAAATCTATATCTTGTCAAATTGATACACACTTTTTCGTATGCACTTATTATAAGATGGTTCATTTCAGAAAAGTGCATACATGCGGACCCATTGAATCATATGTTCGCTGCAACATACAATTGTTTACTTATGAAATATTGACCAATGTCTATCTATATCATTTTAACATCATCTTTTACTTTTTTCGATCTAAGATTTTGCTTAACTTCAATCGGTTTAATATTATCCTTCTCTACATCCTCTTTTACATCATTACATTCTGCTACTTTGAAAAACATATCCGAATGAATCATATTTAATAAGAAGCAAAACAAAACAAAAAATTAATTAAAGAGAATCAATTTTTTTCATATCAAATTGTTAGTTAATAATAAAAAAATACTTATAGTCTTAAATTATTCAAAGTTCTTACCATTTTATACCGTTTAAAATAGTTAATTTTGTAAGGAAAACTCTGGAAAAAAATTACAAAATTATTTATTTAACAATGACACTGAAGAATTTTTTTCTAAAAAAAGAGATTTAAATAAATAATGAAAGGAGTGATAGAAAAATTAATATTCATGTTTCATAAAATAGTAAAGTGATTTATACTTTTTGAGACAAATATTTTTTTTTTTTGCAAATCAAATTTTAATTTGAGACTGAGGTAATAAAAGTATTCATTTGATTTAATATGAAAAATCTAAATATCTATAATACGATCAAAATGAGTATAGAAAAAAAAAAACTGCTGTAGAAACTATTCTAAGAAAAAAGTGAGTAAAAAAGAGGTAATCAAGTTTATGCTTAATTACAAATCCAAGAATTCACTTATAAAATCATCCTGAAACTGAAAGTGCCAAACAGCACCATGAAAGGTTTAAAATGTGATGCAAAATATTGTATTCAGTAAAGTGAACGTAGCAACTAAATTCAGTCTTCCTATTAATTTAATGCATAATGAAAACTCATCCATACAAAATATCTGTATTAATTATCTCAATTGTCAACTAAAATTTTCAAACTCACTAAAACTAAACCTAGGCCTAAACCTGTAAAGACGTATACATAAAAATATATGTGGTCGACTCCAAATTGAGAACCTCCATTTTGCATGGCAGGAGCATAGTCAATAACTTGCATGAAAAGCCAATTTCGCAGAAATGTCCTCCTCCAACCTGATAGACTGACTTGCCGTGAGATCTCGGTCGTACAACTTGGAGCACAGGAGATAAATTAGATTCTTGTATTATGCCAATTCCTACTCTATAAATTGTATGGCTGATATGTACAGAGATTTTGAGAGCATTATTTTGTCTGAAAGAATCATGATGAATATGGGCTCTGGCCATGAAATCCTGATCTTGAAGAAGTAAAAGAACTTCTGGAAGTAAAAGGCTGGGCTGTTGAGAGCAAGAAAAACAGATTGTGGTAAAATGATGTCAAAACAAAATTAATTTAATGACACAATCAAATAAATACAAGAAAAAAACTCATGACTAATGCTCAAGTATAATACATGAATGACCATAAATGGAAAATAATTAGCAGAAATACAACTACAAATAATCCATTAAAACTTCAAGCCAGGGAAAGACAAGTAATAAGCTTGATGTATATGTATGTATGTATATACTAGCATTTTAAGTCAGAAGTCTTGGGTGCAAAAGCCTCAAGACAAGACTTCCAGCAATCACAGAAGAAAACTACAGATTTTTAAGTGTACACCACACATATTTGACTCCAAAATTGCGAAGTTCATATTTGAGAATGACCATTATACAAAGGTTGTTTCATAAGAAGGAAACCTAATGTATCAGTTTTTGTCTGTAATTATTGAAAAATGATATTTACTACAAATAAACCACAACTTCAATGAAAAAATCAGGCCAGATACCAATTTAAAACATATGAACTATTGATTGAAACATCTGGATGGCTTCTTGTTGTTGTAATTATTGAAAATTAATATTTACTCAAGATAAACCAACTTAAATGAAAGAATCAGGCCAGATACAAATACTAACTCTACTCATCCACTTCATAAATTCTTTAGTAAAATGACAATTTTAAATAGTCAAACTTGCCTTCTTCTTCGTCGTCTCCATTATTGCTTGTAAAGAATGGGGTAAGATAGTTTCTATCTAATGCCGTAAAAGATGCAGCACTGCAATAAAGTGAATAGAAATTACAAATGGCAACATCATTTGTGGAACATGACATACGTCAGCTCTACGATTGATACATTTAAAGAACACTCATGCGCCCATGCACACATACTTAACAATGTAATAGTTTTGTAATACCTCTTGTGGAATTCTTTTAGCTTCATCTTAATTTTGTTCCCAGATGACGATGATTCATCATCGTATGAAGGAGCAATATAACCATTGTCCTCCTCATAATTCTTGCAAACGGAACAACAAACATTAGTAGAAATGGACAAGAGATGCGTGAAGTAGATTCATTGAGTTAAATATTATCCAGTGTCCGGAATCGGGATCAATGTGACTTTCAAAATTCAGTTTTTCAAAGTTGAAGTTAACAAACAAAATTGAGAATAAAAACTTATTACATGATATGGGTTCATATAATTCAAAAATCAAAATAATGTGTTGATTGTTGAAGTATGTTTACCCCAGTCATTAGGTGAGGGACGGGATAATCATATCAAATATACCTAATTCAAAGTCAGGAATTTTGATACCTAGAGTTCTATTTAAGCTAGGGGGCAGTCGACATCTATTTCATAGGCTAGGACTTTCTGAATGTTTCTCTAATGGAATGGCAAAGAAGTTATTAAGAAAGATCTCGAGATTAACAAATTGGATAGAAACATGGTACTTGATAGAATATTATAGCAAAAGCTGATCAATGTAGCCGACCCCAGTTAGTGGGATAAGGCTTAATTATTGTTGTTGTTCAAAAAACATAAGCACAAGCTCAATCACATGCTCCAACCTCGTCTACGTCAAATGTAGCCTAATTATTTGTATCAAAAAACATTCTTGCACATATAAGGAAATGCTATTTCTATACAACCTAGTCCCACACATACATAAGTACAATCCTTATTGCATGCTTCCAATATTTAAGAAAGCAAAGCAGACTCATCTTGCGGGCTAACAGCTATCACTAAAGTGACTAAACCAAAATGAATTGTGCACGAGAACAGAGGTTATAATTATTTAATAATACTACTGAGTTTACTACAGATGTTTCGAAGTAAAAAAACAGAGAGGAAGATGCCGCTAGCAGTAGAGGAAGACCTAGAAAAATTATAAGAGAAAGAGAGATCTTGAAGTAAATGAGTTGGATAGAAGCATGGTTTTTAATAGAACATTATGGCGTGGTTTGATCCATGTAGCCAACCCCACTTGGTGGGAAAAGGCTTGGTGGTTATTGTTGTAATGCTTCCAATAAAATAAGAATAGAATCGATTAAGTTAAATGACTTGGCAAAAAAGTATTCCGCTCGAGCACCAACAACATTATTTTTTTAACTTCAATAAATGACAACACATGTCTGTTTCTTACCATTTTTCAATTCTTTCAAACATCCAACAATGATACCATAAGTATCAATATCTCTTAAACGAGAAAAACTATATTGTATGAAATGAATATGAGATATAGCATCTTGTAGCAAGCCCAGACTATATTGTATTTGGCAGTTCATCTTCCAAAAACATTAATGATGGGTGTCGCTACCAAATGCAATTTCAAGGTAAAAGTTGTAAACAAGAGAAACTTAGTAGAGATAGATTAAAAAAAGGGGTAACCCAGTGCACAAGGGCCCTGGGGGGTCGGATGTACGCAGCCTTACCCCTGTTTTTATAACAGAGAGGCTGTTTCCAGCAGGGTTTGAACCCATGACCCCAGGGTCGCAATGGAACAACCTTACCATTGAACCAAGGCTACTCCTTCAATAGAGATAGATTACACACACAAAATAAACAAAAGTAAGTCTTAACTATGTTGTTTCTTGTAAAACTTACTGTGATAGGACCAACTGAAGCCAAAGAGTTATCACTGTGATCTTCACCACCTACGACATCTAGAGCTTCCAGCATGGTACCTGTTGAACCACCAATCAGCAATACCTGAAACAAATTAAAAAAAATCATATTTATATTCCAGATCAGTGATGGATATTAAAGGAAATGTTTATCCATTAATAAATGACACTTCTATATTCTATCACAATTCGCAACATGTAACATAATTTTCTTCATTCATAATTAAATCATTATATACAACCCCAATTCTCTCTCTCTATCTCTCAGTCATCTGAGATTCCCAAATGGCACTTGTATTATAATCATACCAGAGCTCAAGCAGCTCACTATCTCGCGAGGTAATTGCTTAAAATTGGATTTGGAGCTCCTGCACTCTGTAAGGTTTTCAAAAAGAAGTCTAGAATATACAGTTTAACAAATAGTTTTCCAATAGGTGTTAATCTAACCTGCTGCTGAACAAATCCACTTGTTATCCAATATTTCCTTGTATGTCCACTTATCTATCTCAATATTGTCATCTTCAATATACCCAGTTTCTCCAGTTTACACTTGTTGGCATGTTGTGAGCCAAAATAACATACAATTAACATGCGATGTACAGCAAGGCAGTGTCCATTATAATACCCTTATAGTGATATTTTATACCCATTAGTTTTCCAATAGGTGTTAATCTAACCTGCTGCTGAACAAACCCACTTGTTATCCAATATTTCCTTGTATGTCCACTTATCTATCTCAATATTGTCATCTTCAATATACCCAGTTTCTCCAGTTTACACTTGTTGGCACGTTGTGAGCCAAAATAACATACAATTAACATGCGGTGTACAGCAAGGCAGTGTCCATTATAATACCCTTATAGTGATATTTTATACCCATTAGTTTAATTAAAGGACAGTGAGAGTGTTCCTACCGTCAAAACAACGATAGCTGTAGTTGCAGTGAAGATGGTCTGTCCATGTCCTTCTGGAAGATCATGAACTGATTGCAGAGCAAGGGCAAAGGCCATTGCCCCTCGAAGTCCTGTTCATGTTGCAAAACTTAAACACCACAATAAAGAAAAAGCCAAAGAAAATAAGCAGTTTCTTTCAATAGCAGAACTAATCAAACATTACAAGGTAAAGTCAACGTTGCATTGATTATTTCCTTACCACTATACCAAAGTGCTTTTTGGTATTTTGGAGGTATCTGTTGATGTGCAGGTCTGACAAGATTGACCAGGTAAGCACAAGAAAAGACATTTGCAGCTCTGCATGAAATCACCCAAAAATCTTGCTGTCAACTTCGATGGGAAATGTGAGAGCAAAACATCAAATTGTTGAGTACTACTCCGGTCTCAAATATAAACAAAAAAGAAGTCTTGGTGGTCCAAAATAGTAGCAAAATCGAACTACTTTCATCTTATTTAATAGTATTATTCTTAAAATACCCTTTAATGAAACAAACTCCCATACAAAATTAAATGAAAAGATAGGATAATTTGCAATGTAATTAGTTTTTTCATTACATCAAAAGAAAATTAGATGAGGTTAACCGACAATCTTAATATGTATGTAGTTACTAAGTTTAGCTTATATTTGAGACCGCAGGAAACACATGCTATCTTTAACAAGAAAGCCTTAAATAAATGTGTCACTATAATCATAGGCTAGTAATGAAAGAAATCAGCACAAAATACCTTGCAACTACAATGAATATCTGAAGTAATTATCGAGAAGTTAAGGAAAAGTACCAAGAAGAATGTGAAATGCTTAGCTAATGGAAATCACAGCACTTGACTATTAAGGTAAAAAGAAAGGATACAATGGAGAAGAATATAAATCCAACATGAGACCAGCTATGTTGTTCCATAGCAATGTCAAAGCCCATATATATAAATCTGTAAGAGACAAAAGGAGTCCACACATCATTTTGAAGTAATGTTTGAACATGAGGGAAAATAAATCATCCTTACATAAATGTTTCTGCTAATGATGATATCAACTCAAAAAAGGCAGAGACGAATCTTTGAGAACTTCGTGACAAATTTGAAAACGCATAGTGCTTCATGACCTAAAACAAAACACCAAAATAGTCACCACAATGTTTTGATGCAGATAATAGAGTAGTGGTATAATGTAGTGAAATAAGTGTGTGTTCTATTATTGCTGAGCTGGCAGCTTGTTTGTCACAGTTTGTTAGACTTGCTCCACTATATATAGCAAGCTCTTTGTATCTTTCTCATATACAAAAATACAATGAGAATTTCTTTCATTCCTTCTATTCTCTCTACATTAACAAAGTCTATCATGGTATCTTGAGCGTTTTTTTCTTGATCCATGGAGTCTCTTTTTCCTTCTTCTCAGGTGAAACTTTCTCACCAGATTTCTGTTAAACTTGACGACAAAAATTTTAAACAATGGACGCAACAGATTGATGGCGTCGTGCGTGGTCACCGCCTTCAACGGTTCGTTACTGTTCCGATGATTCCGTCACCATCTCCTTCAGATCCTGCATCTCACAGTGCCTTTCTGGAATGGGAGCAACAAGACGCTCTCATCTGTACCTGGCTTCTTTCTACCATCTCCGATTCTCTTCTTCCCAAACTTGTTGAGTGTAAACACGCGTGGCAAGTTTGGACGGAGATCCACCGTTACTTCGACACACTTCTCTCTACCAAAGCACGTCAGTTACGGTCTGAGCTTCGCCGTCTCACGAAGGGAACGCTCACGATTGAGGAGCTTATGAAGCGCACTCGTGAGATCAGTGAATCGCTAGTTTCGATTGGGGATCCTGTTCCTCTTCGTAACCTAATTGAAATCGTGCTTGATTCACTTCCTGAGGAATACGATTCTATCGTTGCCGCCGTCAACAGTAAAGATGAATTGAGCTCTTTGGATGAACTGGAGTCGTCCTTGCTTGCTCACGAGTCGCGTCTTGAGAAACATCGCAAAGCTGCGGTTGCGGAGCCGGCGACGGTGAATCTCACTCAGGCAGCATCGTCCCCTGCGCCAGTCGCCGCTGATCAAGTTGCTACTAAAGCGTTTCCTCAAGGAACAAGTCATGTCACTGCTAATGCTGAGAATCATACCTATGGCTCGCGTGGAGGTCGTTATGGTCGTGGAGGCGGTCGTTTTGGTCGTGGTGGAGGACGTTTTAGCAACAGTCATGTCAGATTTGTCACAAATCTGGTCATGATGCTTCAGTATGCTATTATCGTTACTCCAATTCCAGTGGTGCTGGTTATTCTCAGCAGAGAGCTCCATTCAATTCATTCCTTGTGGCTCCACGTGCTATGTACCCTGTGCAGTTTGCGTATGCTTCACCCAGGGCTGCACCTCCAAGATCCTCTGCACCACAAGCTTTTTATGCAGGTACTGAAACCAGCAGTAATAATCTATGGTGGTACCCTGATTCCGGAGCTTCTCATCATGTTACTCCTGAGGCCTCTAATGTGTCTGACTCTGCTTCTGTGCCTGGATCTGAGCAAGTCTTCATAGGAAACGACCAAGATTTGTCCATCAATTTTGTTGGTTCTATGTCCTTTTCTTTACCACACAAACCTCACCTATCTCTCATTCTTAGTAATCTCTTACATGTCCCTCAAATTACCAAAAATCTCATGAGTGTGAGCAAATTTGCTCAAGATAATAATGTGTTTTTTGAATTTCATCCTACATTCTGTGTTGTCAAATCTCAGGCTACTTCTGAAGTGTTGCTCAGTGGTCGTGTTGGAGATGATGGCCTCTATAAATTTCCTAATCCTGCTGCATCTCCATTGTCCAAGTCTTGTCCCAGTCTTCATACTTGTAGCTCTAGCAGTAGTTTATTTTCTTCCCCTGCTATAAGCAGTTGTAATACTCCCCATTGTATGTCAAATCTTACACTTCCATGTAATGAATCCTTCAATAATAATACTACAAGTACTTTCCTCAATTCTTCTCTTAATTCTGCCACTGTTAGCACTGATTTACCCTTATCTCACTCTAATAGCTCAGCTGCTATAGCAACTAATAAATATGTTTTGTGGCATACCAGGTTAGGCCACCCTAATCACCATGCTCTTGTTGAAATTTTCAAACTCTGTAAACTGGCTATTCCCTCTAAACCACCCACAGAAATGTGTCATGCTTGCTGTATTGGCAAGTCTCATAGATTGCCATCATCCTTGTCTACCACAGTCTACACACATCCCTTTGAATTAGTGGTGTGTGATCTCTGGGGTCCGGCCCCTATGCAATCTTCAAGTGGCTACACTTACTTCCTAACTTGTGTAGATGCTTTTTCTAGGTTTGTTTGGGTCTTTCCTCTCAAACTCAAGTCTGACACTATGCTTCAGTTCCTTCAGTTTAAGAAAATGGTTGAACTGCAGTTCAATTGTTCCATTAAGTGTGTTCAAACTGATGGGGGAGGAGAGTTTAGGCCTCTCACCAAGTATCTCACAAATTTAGGAATTGTTCATAGGTTCACTTGTCCTCATACACACCACCAAAATGGTCTTGTTGAACGCAAACATAGACACATTGTTGAGACTGGTCTCACCCTTCTTGCCCAATCCACTCTTCCTTTGAAGTTTTGGGATCATGTCTTTGTTACTGCAGCCTATCTCATTAACAGAATTCCCAGTCCTATCCTTAATAATACCTCCTCTTACTACAAATTACACAACAAACCACCTGATTATTCCACTCTTAAGGTTTTTGGCTGTGCCTGTTATCCTTTCCTGCGCCCTTATAACACTCATAAGCTGGCCTATAGATCTCAACAATGCATCTTTCTTGGTTATTCCTCCTCTCACAAAGGCTACAAATGTCTTGCCTCTGATGGACATATCTACATCTCTAAGGATGTTGTGTTTCATGAAGCTTTGTTTCCTTATTCCTCCTTATTTCCCAATTCTTCCAAAACTTCAGTTCCTTCATTAGTGTCTTCCAGTGCTACATCTGGGCCTCCTCTTTCCATTCCCTCTGCTGCCAGTCAGTCTTCATCTTCCATTTCTCAGTCCTTATCTTCCAATTCTCCTTCCAATCATGCTGGCAGTCACAGTCCCACTCCTTGTTCTCCTCCTTCTAATACTTCTGGTTCTTCTCCTGAATCTTCTACTTCTGCCAGTCAGCAGATGGTCACTCCTGTTCCTCAGCCTCTCACTGCCATTCCTGCTCCCTCCTCTCCTTCTATCTCTCCTGCTCTAATCCTCACTGATCCAGCTGAAACTAGTACCATCTCTCCTTCCTCCTCTCACAATCTTTCTGAACCAGCTACTTCAAGCCCTAATCTCAGCCCTCCTACTTCATCTTTACCTTTCATTCACCCTCAAAACGTGCACCCTATGCAAAAACTAGAGCCAAAAGAGGTATCACTCTACCCAGACTTCATCTTACCCTCCTTTTAACCCACATGGCACCCACTTCTGATGGTCAGGCCTTGGCTGCTCCTCATTGGTTTCAGGCAATGCAAGAAGAGTATCAGGCACTGATGAGAAATCAGACCTGGACATTGGTGAAAGCTCCTGATTGCAGGAAGCCTATTGGCTGTAAGTGGGTTTTCAGAACAAAGGAAAACCCGGATGGCTCCATAAACAGGTACAAGGCCAGATTAGTAGCTAAAGGATTCCATCAAAGGGCTGGCAGTGATTTCCAAGAGACTTTCTCACCTGTCATCAAACCTGTAACAGTCAGAATCATTTTAACCATTGTTGTTAGTAACAAATGGACAATCCAGCAAATTGATGTTAATAATGCTTTCCTCAATGGCACTTTTGAAGAGGAAGTGTTTATGCAGCAGCCTCCTGGTTTTGAAGCAGCTGACAAGTCACTGGTGTGTAAATTGAACAGGGCGATTTATGGTTTAAAGCATGCTCCTAGGGCCTGGTTTGATAAATTGAAGAGTGCACCGGTTCAACTTGGTTTTCAAGCTAGCAGGTGTGATCCTAGTCTCTTTTTGCTGCATCAAGGCAAGCTTCAGGTCATGATTCTGGTGTATGTTGATGATATTATCATCACAGGCAGTTCAGCTCCCTTTATTACCTCATTAATCAAGCACCTCAACAACAAATTTTCACTGAAACAATTGGGACAGCTTGATTATTTTTTAGGTCTTGAAGTCTCTCATCTCTCTAATGGTTCTTTGCTTCTATCTCAAACCAAGTACATCTCTGATCTACTGACCAAACTTAATATGCTCAATGCTAATGGCATGCCCACTCCCATGGTTTCCAGCAGCAAATTATCCAAAGTTGGCTCAGCTGCTGTGGAAGACCCTACTCACTTTAGGTCAGTTGTTGGTGCCTTGCAATATGCCACTTTAACTAGGCCTGAGATCTCCTTTTCTGTCAACAAAGTTTGTCAGTTTCTATCCAATCCTTTAGAGGATCATTGGAAGGCAGTCAAGAGGATTTTGAGGTACTTAAGTGGCACTTTGCATCATGGTTTACTCATTCAACCTGCCCCTGTCCAGCAGCCTATGCAATTATTAGGATTCTGTGATGCAGATTGGGCATCAGATCCTGATGACAGGAGGTCCACTTCAGGGGCCTGTATCTATCTTGGTCCAAATGTTGTTTCCTGGTGGTCCAAGAAGTAACAGCTTGTTGCTAGACCCAGTGCTGAAGCAGAGTACCGCAGCATGGCTCAATTGGCTGCTGAGCTCATTTGGATTCAGTCTTTACTTCAGGAACTTCACTGCTCCTGTCAGGTGCCTAGGATCCTGTGTGATAACTTGAGCACTGTCACTCTTACTCATAATCCTATCCTACACAACAGAACCAAGCATATGGAACTAGATATATTTTTTGAGAGAGAAGGTTCTCAGCAAACACCTCTTTGTGGTTCATGTTCCAGCACATGATCAGTGGGCTGACATTCTCACTAAACCCTTATCTGCTACCAAATTTGTACCTCTGCGTTCTAAGTTGCGTGTGTTAGACAAAATTGCTTTGAAACACCCACCAGCAGATTCTAAGGGGGACTAATAGAGTAGTGGTATAATGTAGTGAAATAAGTGTGACTATTTCAGTAGTGGATAGAGTAGTGGAATATGTGTGTGTTCTATTATTGCTGAGCTGGCAGCTTGTTTGTCACAGTTTGTTAGACTTGCTCCACTATATATAGCAAGCTCTTTGTATCTTTCTCATTTACAAAAATACAATGAGAATTTCTTTCATTCCTTCTATTCTCTCTACATTAACAAAGTCTATCGGCAGACATGAAAATAACCCAGGAAAAATGTCATATGCACTTACAATTCCTGTGAATAATATTGATACAATACCAGACAGACCAAGGCCTTCAGCCAGCATGTACCTGAAAAATTTAAGAGTTTACACTGATTTGCACCATGAGTGGAAGAATATAAGAAAACCGGATGAAACCGCTATCAAGAAATGATCCATGAAGATTGCTTACGAGAAATATGGGAAGAGAACAAAAAGACAGCTCTCCAAGTTCTGAAGGCTGGATAGAATCATAAAAAATAAAAAAATTATCAGTATTTTCCACATGTAACGTGAATCATCAAACAACAAATATCTGAAAGAAAACTGATATTTGATACTTACTTGTCAACATCCAAGCCTGCATACTTAAATAGGTTCTGGCAGTCAAGGTTTTACAAAAAAAAAATCTTGATTTTTAAATTTCTAAAGATGTATACATTAGATATAAAGGACAAGAATGGATTTTTAAAGGATATCAAAGCAGATGTAAACCCAACTCCAACACCTGCAGACACCAAATGAATCACAATTATAACTTACGAATACTGAAAATATAAATACTAATTCACAACAACACACAAAAGCATCTAAGACTGTAAGTTCATAAGGTAAACAAAATTTCCAGTGTGGCTCTACTTTTCTTCACCCTATTACAGCCAAAACAAAACATAGCTAAAAACTGACCTGCAGACATAGACCCAACAAAAGTCTCCAAAAATCTAACAACCACCATGAAGAAATTCTGTCCAGATGGGTTATTTCTAACCAATGACATAGTCCTGCAAAGAAAGTACTTGGGTTAAAATCGACTTCAATAATACTTGGGCTATTTCAGATAAGCAAAAGATACTCCGGAAGTTTGGGTACCTGTACAGAGATATTGCCATCTGCCATAGTGCAAGAGGGAGGTCAGGACAAAAGAAATAACATATAACAGGGAAGAATAAAGAACGAGAACAGCCTTTAGCACCGTCTTATCTTCAGATCACAGCTGAAATCAAATTTTTAAAAAAAGGCTGTAGCAAAGAAACTTACTGCATCATTCAAAACAGATTCTCCAAAAACCAAAGCATATAGATTGACATCAGTGCCCAGCTCCTGCAAAGAGGGCAGGTTAATTTTCAAATTCAGTATGAATTGAACCAGATGCAAGCATATAGATTGACATCTGTGCCCAGCTCCTGCAAAGAGGGCAGGTTAATATTCAAATTCAATATGAATTGAACCAGATGCTATATATTTACTATGCACATAAGACTCAGAATCGAAGCAGGGCTTTCAGCCTTGACACAATCATTGGAGTTGTTGTCATGTGACCAAGACGACATAGGTTTTTGAATACTTAATTCAAGTTAATCAATCTCTTGTAAATGCAAATAGAATGTAAGGCTGTGTACGATATATCCATAATATGTTTGACCCTTCCTAGTAGGACCTTTCCATAGCAGGAAGTTTAATGCACCAGGTTGTCCTTTTTTGTTCTTAGAATGTATGGGTTGGGCCTAGCTCATCCGTACAAAACCGGCTTGTAAGGTGAGGATTTCCCCCACTTATAAACACATATTCAAGCCATATATTGTCCGATGTGAGACTCTTAACATTTGTAATTCTCAAAACTACCATGAAGGCTATATCATTTCTTACTCTTCACGTGCTTCTAACACACATGTATATCATGTTCTCGACTGATACACTTTATTTATGCATGTGTGTGTGTGTGTTTTTGTCATGTCAAATACATATCCTTAGACATAGCCTGTGTTGGTATGTTCCCCCATTATATTTATGATTGTGTTTCATATACTATGACTTAATAACATAGCAAATTAGAGTTTTGAAAAACATAAGTTTACCAATCAAAAGCTTTACATCTTTTTCCTAGTCACATACATTAGTAACATTACAAAACTACGGTTCTGGAATGATATTTAAGTCATTTACTCGTCATATTAGAAAATCTTATGACCACCTAAATCTCAATGTTCAATTTTGCAAAATATGTATTTGCTGAAGCATAGGCAACAAACAAGAATGTTTAGATTTTTGGAAGGTAGTGACTAGTAGGTCCTGCCTGGTAAGTATTAACACTCTGTGGCCTTTGTATTAAACATGTATTTTGAGTTCCGAGAATAATATAACCTAGGAAGTCAGAACATCAATACTTATATCGACAAACAGAGTATATGTATAAATGGATGAATTAAAAAAATAAAAATAAAAAAGTGGTATGTCACCTGAAATATGGATAAAACCGTAACAGGATCGGTTGCTGATATTAGGGCGCCAAACATCAGGCACTCAACAAAAGGTAGTTTATACATAAGGAAGACCAACCCACCAAGATAACTACAGCACATAGGGAAAAAAAAACATAAGCATTAAATCGAAACCATACCCATACCCCATAATGTGCTATGCTTTCTAAGTGTAAAAATGGTGACCTAAAAAAGAGGGATAGAAACAAAAACTTACACCAAGACACCCGTTACAACTGAAGCAAGAAAGGTACCAAATATAGCAAATGTCACAATTGCACCAAAATTTGAGAAAAACGGTTTCTGCAAAACTCGCATTACCACAGTCAGAATATACATCCAATAGAACAAAAAAACTACAACTCAATACAAGAGAAAAAACTATGAAGGGACTTACAGGTGCAAGACTGAAACCAGACTGAGTAAAGAGCAGAATTAAGGAAAGAAACAATGTTGAAATAAAAAATGGTCACATAAGCTAAACTACATATACATAAATTAAATAACTAAAAACTGAACAGAAAATAATGATAATAATAATAATAATTACTATTATTATAATAACAGTGTTTAAAAGGATATAATATGATCGGTGGTAACAGGAACAGGAAAAAAAACTCCTCATGAAAATTGAACCAAGCCCTATGGAAAAACGGGAACAAAATTAGACAAGAGAAATATAAAAAAACAGAGAAAACGAAAAAATCAAATGAAATAAATAACCTGATATTAGTTTCAGTATCTGAAATGTTAGCTAAAACACCAACAATTAACCCTAGAGAGTGAAACAAAAGAATTTAGGTTAGAAATTGAAATTGAAAAATTAAAGAAAAGACAAAAGAGGCAAGAGAGAAAAAAACGGAACCTATGAGAAGAGAAGCACTGGCTTCAGGAATGATGTAAATCTTCTTGCGACGGAGGACGTGACCGAGGACGAACGACAAGACCAACATCATGATCTGAAGAAGAATTCCGACGCCGGCGGCTTGTTGTTCTTTGCCGGGAGCCTTACGAGCATCGGCCGGAGAAATTTCATTCTCCGAGCCCATTGTGAATCACGGAAGAACTCGATTCGATTCGATTGTTCTGTTGTTGTTCACAGAATGCTGAATTTTGTCCTCTCTTTTACTGTGTTTGTGTGATTCAAAATTGTTTCTATAACTTCAACACGGAACTCTTCTAGCTCCTCCGTATTATTATAATTATAACTAACTAATTAATTATGTATTAACTATGATGATTATCGTAATTAATATAAGCTATGATAGAATGTTCTTCCAAATTCAGTTACGACTTAGTAATTTAAAAGATTAATTATATTCAGCAAAGGTTTTTATAATAAAAAATAGATTTATAAAATAAATAATTTATTATATCATTTGAATTTTTTTTAAATAAAAATATGTTTTAATTAAATATATAATTATAATTAATTGACATTATAAAATTATTTTACAGGGTCAATGCATCAATCTTTTTCTTTTAATTATATATATTTTTTGTTTTTCGGATAGATAATGTTGATTGGAATTTATTCGAATATAATAGATATTGCTCAGACAATTACTTTACATCCAATGAAAAACTAATAAATTATTAAATTGTTAAAATATTTTTAAATTTTAAGTGTGATGTAATAGGATATATATTATTGTTGATTGGTTGATAATGTAATACACATTTTTTTTCAATTTTTTTTCATTAAAAAGAAACTTCATGGTATATTTGTATCTGTTTTATATTATAGTTATTTCGATTAAAATAAATGAACAAGTGTGTCTTTTTTTAAGGATTAATGTGACTCTAATGTAAACAAATGAGTCAGTTTTGTATTTTGTCCAAGTCATTGGTGAAGTGAGGAAGGCATACACTTTTCCACTTTCTTAAGGAGAAAAGTCCATTTTTTACTTTTTCATGTTAATATATATTTTTTAGACTTTTGACCACCTCAAAACCTAAAATATTAATAAATGTGTGTGTTAGTGTTGGTTATTCATGGATAAAAAATGATTTTGGATTTATTAAATTTATAAAATAAATTTTCATTAAAAATAATTTGAAAGTAAAATTGTTTGGGGTTTGGACGTTTTAGGTAAACTTGTTTTTTTTTTTGTGATTTCATTTTAAATATTTTAGATTAAAATAGTTTTCTTTTTATAAGGCTAAAAACATGATTTTTATTAATTTATTTTAAATAATTGATTAAAATAGTTTTTTTTAAGATTAAAAGAAACAAAATTGACTAAATTCTAAAAAAAGAAAGTTTATGTATCATCGACAGTAAAGAAATGCTAAGTCCGGGAGAATATAAGTGTAAACAAGGAGATTTTAGTTAGAAAAATCGTCAAGTTGAACAATAAAATTAGCACAATGGTTGTATTTACGGAAAGTGTGAGTGATTATAAATTTACATTTTTTATGTATATGTGGTTTGTTGGTAAGGTCTCAATAAAATTAATACATAATGCAAAATTTATATAATAAACTAAATCGTTGATGCTCGTGTCCTTTACAATTGACAACTTTTAATGAATGACATAAAGTTTCGTCTAAATAATATATTATGAGCTAGGAAGATGGTCAAAAAGCCTTTCTGCCAAACATTAAATAGTTCTGCTGAAACCTGCTTTGATAGATATCATGAGGCAACTTATATCAATATTTTAAATAGTGTAAAGAAAATTGAGGGAGTTCCATTTAACGAGTCTCACGTTAGTATGTAATTGATGAGGTTTGCTAAAGCAAAAAATGAAGTAGTTTATCATGTTGTGGGAAATCATAGAAAGGCATTATAAGGGGATTTTATCATGGACAATGTAAGTGGAATTTCTATTTCTTCAGGTCAATCAATTTTCGCAACAATAAAATTGTGGCAAGCGTCAGACATGCCATTTTAAGCTATTTGTTTCCATTATGGTTTGAGAAAAAATCACATTTGAAAAATCCAACATCCTGTTAGAGATTCTTGAAATCACAACAATCCCGAATACAATGAAGAAAATACTTAACTTCCAAACCACAATGGGTGCACAATGACAGTTTATGATAAGTAGCATAAGTAAGTGATTTTCCATAATATCATTAGGGAATTTATTGATTTGTTTTACAAGAAAATGTGATTTAGAAAATCTATATTTATTGTATATACTAGATTATTTAGCTTTTAGTTGTGATAATATTGTCTACGACATATTTCTACACTTTTGTAACGAAATACATATAGAACAATCAATAAAGGGGGAGCAATTAATTTGAATACTACAAGTAACTTATCAGATGAAATCATCAATAATCTATCGAGCAAAGTCAAAGAGTTTGAAGTTTTTCAAGGCAACGAATCTCACGGTCTAAGTAAGATAACTCGTGTACTGAGATAAAGACAAAGATTTCCGGATGTTCTGCAATAATAAATTTGTGAGGTGGACAAGATGACTCCAATAGCGAATTAGGGCATTTTTAGTAATCCACTTGGATAAGTTAGCGAGATATGTAATATTTAAGATGCAGTTTTGTCTCCAAATCTAATCTAGACGCCAAACAAGTACTAGCCACATTTGTACAACTCCCTCATCAATAAATAAAAAACATACATTCCTTTATATTTTGCATCTTGTGTGTGAAAGATTTACTATGGTTTCAATTGAGGTATCCTTAAATGATAATAAAGTTCCCTCATTCTTTTGCTTGTCCTTCCAATTTTAAGAATTGAAAGTGTTTGTGTTTATCCTTACTTTTGGCCCTTTCCTTTTAGTTGTTGTTGTTTCACCTTGACAACTTAACAAACTAAGTCCTCTATTTCCACATAAGGATGTAATTCGACTATGTCACTTTTATTATGATTTAGATCGCGAACAAAACTAGTTGTGATTACTTCATTATCTTCCTCTGCATTGACTCTTATTTTTGCAACCTCCTTCTCTTTGTAATATTCATTAAGATTTTTAGAATATTGAGTGAGTCTCTGTAATTATTGTGCAAGTTCTGATGATAATAGAAAAATAAAAATCTTCTTATCATAATTGTCTTCATCTCCTCTCAAGTGTCTATGATTGAATCTTCACATATTCTTTTTTCTTTAATAGTTTGATCACATCATATCAAAGCATATTCTGTAAATTCAAGAGTGATAACTTACACATTTTAAATATTAGTATAAGTATTATAAGCAAAAATATATTTAATTTTTATTTCTAAATCTAAATAAGTCTTTGGACTGTTTTCTCTTTAAAGTTTGAAACTTTAATTTTTATTCCATCATTCTTTTTTATTTATGTCTTCCATCTCTCATTCACCTTAACTTTGCCTTATCATGAATATTATCTTGTAGGTTTTTTAATTGGTCAATCTTTTCATGTATGTGTATGTTTGTTCTTTTATCATCTCTCTCATTTGAGTTATGTGAGAGTTTCCAACAACAATCAATTAGCTTTTCTACCTCTTAAACATGAGATAGTTAAAATTTGTTGCTTGCGTATTTACATTAAAATTTTGTTGTTTTTTTTTTGTTCTTTAGAGAAATCAAACACAATCTAGAAAAAAAATTTAGATGGTGTAAGACTAAAATTAATGAAAGAAGTTAATGGAAAAAAAGAAGAAATTTAAAAAGAATGTAGTAAAATTAAATAGCATAAATTAATACACATAATCAGAAGCTTCACAACAAGTTTTTTTTTATGTTGTATGGATGATTCACAAACGTATAAGCTTTTTTATTCACAAATTAATAACATTTTTTTGGTTTAAATAATATGTTGATTCATGTAAGTTAGTGTATTTTTTATTTTAATCCTTAATCTATTTTTTTAATAGTTTATGAATGTTAAACAAATTTCGATTTTAGTCTTTAAAGTTAAAATCCGTAGAAAAATCCGTAGGAAATCAACAAACTTTAAATCCACAGAAAAATCCGCAGGAAACCTGCAAATTTTACTACAAATTTTGAATTTAAGAACTAAAATAAAAAAGATTTAACATTCAGAGACCATTTAAAAAATATATAGATTAGGGACTAAAAACAAAAATATGCTAACTTATAGAGGCCAATATACTATTTAAGCCTATTTTTCTTTATTAGTTTAGGTTGTACCGACCTTTATCTAAATAGCATTTGATGTCAAACTAGTTTTAAACTTCCTTGCAAAATTTTCAAGGAGCTTGTGATCAAATTCTACATTTTCTTTTTGTAAAATAAAGAGAATAACTCAAGAATAAGATTTTGTTTGACAATATCCTTTTTGAACTTGTAGCTTATAATTTATAGCTTATAAGCTTGTATGATAAAAAAGACTTGTTTGATAAAAGTCTTTTTATTACGTGCTTATAGTTTATTTTCCAAACAATATTTCAAATAGCATTTTAGTATATAGCTTATATCGTATCATCTTTTCTTTCATTTTTATCATTATTATTTTAACTAAAACACATTGTTACCCTTTATAATTTATTTTAATTTTAAAATAAAACAATTATATATCGAATATCTTTTGTGCCATTTTAATTTATCAAATGATCTTACCGGATCAGAAATGGACCGTCACAGCTGACTCGGGCAGAAGTTTAATAAGATGGGGGTACTTGTAAGACACTTCGATGACAAAGTAAGTTGCGGAATGATCAAGCAAGTATGAGTTTAGAGATGAATTGAATTGAATCCCTGATCCTCTTGAGAGAGAGAGGGTATTTATAGCCCCTAACGCTAGACCAAGGTTCCCACTCTTGGGCCATGTTGAGGCCCAATAACAGGAACTGCCAGGGCTTACGTGTGTATGGAATCCAACAAGTGGGATCCCCCTGGTCAACTGCTCTGCGAGAATGGGGTTGGACCCGTGATTTCTGGAGGGCAGTTTGAGATGGTTGTCGTGGGCACGTGGGCCACGTCCTCCAATGGTCGGATGGGGAGTTACCCAATGATCCCTAACTTGGGTTGTCTTTGGGCTTCCCATTGGAAGGGCAAGTGTATGTCTAATCCAGATCAGGAGCCCCCAAGTTATTGCCCTTGAGCAAGAGGACGGTGACTTGAGTTCAGCTCTCGATACCAGAGACTTGGTCG